AGAATAATACGTATCAGAAAACTAGAAAGAAAAGTTGAGAAAAATGTGACTGAGGCGACGATTACATGCGGCTTAAGAAGGCTCGATATCAGATAACAATGGGAAAAGCGTTACGTAGGTAACAACATCGATCAACATTCCGAATGTTTACATTTTTGTAAAGGCATTTGAGAAAGGCTGTGAGAAATACTGAGAATATCCTTAGGAAATACTGAACTAGAGTTCAGTATACTCCGCGCCGCCATGTGTCGTTATCGGTCAGTTGTTAATCGAGTTACTACCACTCCTCATCAACCGTCCTCTTATCAGCTTGCGATCTCCGCGAAGGCTCACGATCGTGCTCTGGCCTTCCTCGTCTCGAACCGGACCATCTTGAAGAACAGGGCTTCGAGCTTTCCAGTGCCCTTTCACATATATCGATCAAAACCTTGATTTCTTCTCTGCGTCTCATTTTATCGGCGAACTCTTCGGGCCTCCTGCAAATACTGCAATGATGATCGAGGTCGTCGCGATAATTACCTGATTTGCAGTAGAAGCATGGTGTATTCCTAGGGCACTTTGGTGCAAAATGGAATTCCAGGCATACCATACATCTGTTTTCCGATTTCAACAACTCGATCCTCCTGGACACAGAGCGCACCTCCGCACACGCGTCGGAGTAGTGATTTCCTCTTACCTTACAATACACGCAGGTCATTCCTCCCTCACCTTCCTTCATGTTCCTGCTGCCGAAACGTCTATCTTTGACCACATTTCGACTGAGAAAATCGTCGATTTCCGTCAGCTCTTTCTCGCTCTGATCCAGTATTCTTTCATACCTCTGTAATTCCGAGGGCGGGATTTCGAAACCTCCATGTCTCCTCTTGCAACCCGTCCTTGGACTGCTCGACCGCGAGTGTTCTTTTCTTTCCTCCTTCCAATCCTGCAGTTCCTTCGTCTGCTCTTCGATTTGTGCCTGTTAGCCGTTTCCACTCTTCTGCATATCTTGTGATTTGAGCGTGGCTTCCTTGCTACGCTCCGAAACTTTCTTCAATTCATTGATGATATACTTGGATCCTTCAGCATTCTTCGTGCACTGCTTCATGATCGCATCGCTGAAGCCCTTCATTTTCTGCATGCATTCTTCGATTTCCTCGTTCTGGCGCCGAACGCCATCGTGCAGGTCAAAGCATGCCTCTCTCATTTGACGCATAGTTTCATCCTCAACAGCGGTATTGCGACGGACTTCCGCTTCTGCTGTTTCGCAAGACTCCTGTTCCTCTTCCAGCAGGGCATCTAACTTCACGAGCTGGTACTTCATCATGACTATGACAACATTTCGTTCATAAGAGCGATGAACTATTGTCGGATTGGGGTAACTGCTATCTCCCGGTTCCGTAGGTTCGGTGTGCTCTTCTTCACTCAGTGTGCGAATGAACTCCAACCTGGATAATTCATCCACTTCATCCACCGTCACAAGAATTTCATACCACTCGTGCGCTAGTACGAAGAACTCTGTATTGGCTACCAACTCTGCTCTTAGCTGCTTGTGCGTTGCGTGCAGCTGTTTAAGTTTCACAAGGAAAGTGAAACGCTCCCCCTCTTTTGGTGGAGAGATCGTGCTCGTCACGCATGAGTGCTGCGTATTCATAACGCGCTTGTTGGATCATGGAGGTCGCGTCATAGCACTGTGCGCCATAGTAGCGTAGTCGATACTGGATGAGCTGCTCTGATGGTCGTGCATGTGAGCTTTCAGCTATAGCTATTTTCGACTAAGTTCGTGCTTAAGACGGGCTTCCAGATCTTCTGATGTCGGCATGCTGAAAAATGATATCTCAGCAATTTCGTTCTCTTTCTTCGGGCAAATAAGCAGATGGTTAGCGCAATCTTCCTTCATGCCCATATGATGCTCGTGCACTCAGTTTCAAGGAAGTTTCTTCTCTGGCTTCTCCGTGCGACTTCCTTGTAGAAGATGAAGTAGTGCAGCTGGTGCACAGACAAGGGCTCTCGTAATCCGAAAAAGCAATCGATTGAGTAGTAGAAGGAAGCGCAGAAAGAATCTCAGAAAGAGAAAGCATGCAGTGTTAGTAAGGAAGAGATAGGTTAGCAAAAGGGCTAATGCTACTGCAGCAACAGTCATGAACAGCGTTCCGCTCCATCCAAGAAAGACATCCATTATATGCGAAATATCTGGGAAGTTGATCTCTGAGAACACTTCACTCTCACCATGGAGTATTCGTCTTATGGCGGTGTGAAGAACGCCGGTATAACGAAGGATTCCCACTATTTTCGAATCTTTGCTGCGCCTGTCCACATTGAACAGTGCATACAACGTGAAAGCGTGCTTTAGTCGAAGTGAAACGAAGCTCGGATTGGACGACATGAAACGAACAAGGAACGGTGAATCGAAACTGCACTGAATTTCTGCTCTCTCTTCCGGGGTTGACGATGTGCACACGATTACTGCGCGTGTTCCTTTGGCGCAGTTGTAGCATCCTGTACATTCGCTATTTCTCACCGTACATACAGCGTCCGAGGTTACTGCTGTAGTCTGGAGTTCATCCTTAATCCTGATGATGATTTCAGCTGTTGGTAAGTATGGTATCCTAGCAATTAAGTTGGATTGCATTCGAAACTCTACATTCGGACGGATGATTGGTGTTT